GCAACCCTCGGTGTTGCACCCGCACCGCGCTCAGCCAGTGAGCGGGAACCAGTCTGTATGTGGGATCCGAACCCTCGGAGGGAGCGCCACCACGCTCCCAAGCGCACCCCACCACGCTCCCAAGTGGCACACTATAGCAGTGCGCCACCGGGCCGGCCCCAAAAGATGACCGGTAAGGGGATCTCAACCCTTGGCTTGGTGTTGTCAGCACCACGCTCAGCCAGTGAGCAAACCGGCCATCCCTATATAGGATCCGAACCCGTGGCCTTGGTGTTATCAGCACCGCACTCTACCGAGTGAGCCATGGGCCGGCCCTGTGTTTTTTGTTTTTTATTTCATTGAGTGAATCTTTCATTTCTAGAAGTTCTACTACACTCTTTTTTAAGTTATTAATCTCTTTGTAGATTTCTTCCTTTATAATCTGGATATTTTTCCTTGTTTCATTTTGTTCTCTAATTGAGTCTTCCTTTATTTCTTCAAGTTTTCTTAAGATCATTGGTCAAAATTCTTTTTCAGACATTTCAAGGATTCCCTGCTCCAAGAAGTCTAACTTTGGTACATTGCTCTGTTCTTTTGGTGGTGTCATTTCTTCTCGATTGTTTGTACCTCTAGTATTTTTCACTAATGCTTGGTCATTTGGTAGAAGTTTTGATTCTACTCTTACACTGAGGTTGGCTGTGTAGTGGCCCTGGCTGCTACTGTGGAGGTGAATTGTCTTTGCTTGACAGTAGGTGTGGTAGTGGTTATGTTAAATCACCTGGGTTCCTGTTCCAGACTCTGTGGTCATAGAATGATCCCAAAGCACCATGTGGTTCTGCTGGGCACATCTCAGTGGGTCAGATCCCACAGGCTGCTGCTCGCCCCTGGGTCCAAGGAAGAGGGAGGGGCTGCCTCTAGCTACATGGTACTGCTGCTGCTGCTGCTGGATGCTCACATTGGCAGCATGGGTTTGGGGCACCTAATCAAAGGTATTAACAACAAAAAAAGCTCAATCAGTGGAACAGATAAACTATTTAGCAATGGATTTACAAATACATGTTCAGTTTATTTTTGACAAAGACACCAAAGGAAAATCCATGGAGTAATGATACGCTTTTTAAAAAGGGTGCTTGAAAGTTTAAACAGTCCTATGCCAGAAAAAGAGAGATTGACTCATTCATTATGCCATATATAAAATGAGTCTCAAAATGAATCTCAGACATTAATATAAAACCTAATGGTATACATATAACATTTCTACAGAGAACACAGAAAAACATTTCAGTGACCATGTGTTAATTTGCTAGTTGCACATTTTTATTTAAAGCACAAAATGCATGAAGTATAGCAGAAAAATGCTATATCATACTTCATCACAATTGAAATCTTCTGCTTTGTGAAAGACATCTGTTGAGAAAATGAACAAACAGTTCACAGACTTGAAGGAAAACATTTGCTAAACAGTTATTCAATAAAGAACATGTATCTAGAATACATATGAAATACTCAGAATTATAAGAATTAATTTGAAAACAAAAGGAATACAATAAAAATGGGCATAAATTTGGACAGACACTTCATAGAAGATACGTCCATGAAAATGTTGTTAAATATCAAATTGAAAAGAAGTGAACTTTAGAATTATAAGGTAATTCTATACACCTGTTCAAATGAGCAAAATGTTAGAATATAATATCTGACAATACAAAGTACTTTCAAACATTCAGAGCACCTGCCACTATCATCCAAGGCTTGTTAAATTTCAACTGATGCAGCCACTTTAAAAGACAATCTGATAATTCATTATGAAGAGAAACATAAACTTACCTAAATATGACTCAGAAATCTCCATTATTTATT